TCTTGTGATAGGGTATGGAAGCAATTACTTACTTAGACACAATTTTTAGTATGATAACTTACTAAGAGATTCTTGTAATAAGACACAATTTTTAGCTATAAGACGTATCAAAATCATATCCTAAATTACAAGAATATGATAACTTGAGAGAAATGAATTAAGACGATAATTTTTAGTCATGTCTTATTTATTTATTTATTTTATACAAAACAGGATAAAACCTGCAACTCTCTATCCAACTTCTACTCCACTCAGAAATTTCAATGTCATTAGACCAAGAAATCTTAGGCTGATGCCTTAAATTTTCTTAAGAAATAAGTGTTAGAAGATATGGACAATACAAAGAAGAACAAGAATAATTAATGGAAAAAATAGAATAACGAAATTGTTACAAAGTAATTCAACTTTCCTATCAAACTCGGAAAACCGGAATTAGAAGAAAGTCGAGGCACGTGAACCACGTTTTCCTTAAAACAGATTCGTCCCCTCCGGTGAGTGCTTGAGGCAACATTGGACATCCGTCTCCCAGGATACAACGACAACGACGGTCACTCAATGCACTATCAGAACCGTCCGGCGAACTAGAACTCGAACCTTTCCTCTATCACCAAACCGAACTACAAGGAACACAAAAGAAACTAGAAAAAGAAGGAAGAACTCGTCCAAACGGTTTTGCCTGAATCTCGAACCTTTCCTCTATCACCAAACCGAACTACAAGGAACACAAAAGAAACTAGAAAAAGAAGGAAGAACTCGAGGAAGAAGAGCTGATTGCGTTTCTGTGGTGTGTTCCCTTTTCACGTGGAAGACACCTTTTATAGGCTCTAGAAAATAGGTTATGAGACCAGGAAATCAAATGTCTTAATCACCAATTTAATTGTGCAAAAACGTTTCTTGAACCAGGCCACAATTCAAATCTAGGTTCATGGAAAAAACTGGTTCAATACCCAGCCATTAAGAACACAATTAAACTCGGCATTAAGCATCCCATTAAGCCTTGTTTAATATCCATTAAGCTCCAAACGGTTTTGCCTAAATCTGGAAAGTCTTGGCTGAGTAAAAAATAAAAATTGTAAAAATAAGCTCGCAAGTCGCGGGCGCACACAGTAAGCTCCAAACCCACCAAAATTGTGATTTACACCCCTTGCGTGTGAAAGAGCGTCTCTAATATACATACTTACTTAAACTTCAAAGTGCATTCACTTATAAACACTACATTGGCTGCACTCCTAGCCAATGTGGGATTTTTGCAATTTTTCTTCTACATTTACCATTCCAAGTACCACACTTAGACCATCAATTTCTCATTCACCCAAAAAGCATTTTAAGTGTTTGAATACTCGATTTCGATCTCCTCGCGACGGAGAACGCAAATCCATCGAGACCCATCTCAAAAACTTATTGGGCCCCATCCGAATATGGGCCTCAAAATGGGCCTTTAAAATGGCTTAACAAGCCATTTTTCCAACAATAAGCAACAAAAAATTATTGAAAAAAAAAAGAGTTTTTCCTGTATAGTATCCATAAATACTGATAATTAATGTTCAAGAATGTTCAATTTAATCAAATCACATTAAAATAATATAGAAAATATCTATGTAGAATCAACAAAATCTCTATAAATATACACCAAAACAGAACTCCATCGAAAATTTTCACATTACCATGGAGATATCGTTTAAAAAAAAAAAAAAAAAGGATTCGCTTGATAAACTTAGTTTGTATGACGAACTAGACCTAATTAAAGCAATTGGATCCTTTATAATCAGGAATCACTTTCACCTTTCACTGCCTTTGATTCCACTCAATTAAGGTCCACAACGTGTAATTGATTAATGCTTTAAATCTTCATTAAGCTTCTAAACCTCAAACTTATCAAATGCGGCTTTTTGGTTTTCTTAGGACTTTCCTTTTGTTTTAACTTTAAACACTAAGATTCCAAAGTATGGGAAACATATTAAAGTTGTAATGCTGATGGATTTTAGTTTCTTTCGGCTCATTCATCTATTTGTTTTTGTTTTATCTTAGTTCTTTGGTGTTTTGGACCCACATCATTTGATATTGCTCACACTTTTTTCTTCAAAAATATATTTTGAGACTTTTTCTGATACGCTATTATATCGATAGGTCAAGTTTTTTATCCGTTAGATATATATAAAATCACGTAAAATAAAAAAATATATATACATATCTAATAGTTAAAAAAACTGACTTACCGATGCGATAATCATACCAAATAGATCTCCCATATATTTTTCCATTATCAATAAAACTCCCAATGATAAAATTGAATCAAGAAAAAAGCTAATATATATTTTATTTTTACCAGACGCTTCAAAATTTTGAGTGCAAAACACCCTTAACTTCAGAAAGCAATATTTACCATGTTATAAATTATATAGCTCATATATTCCACAAGGTTTGGTCATGTTATATTAAATTTATTTTTTAGAAATATTTCAAGTTTAATTATTATTTTTTTCCAACTCTATTATTTATGACAATATACAAAATTTTGATGCAACTAGTGATAACCTGCAAGTTAGTGTATGATATTAAATTTATTGATTAATGAGTTAAAATGGTAATGAAATGAAAGCTATTTGGCTAAAAGAAAACGCGTACTAATTTGTCGATAGGATTTTAAACTTTAAAAGATGTCATGTTTGAAAAAAGTATCAATGTAGGTAAAACGATTTCACACACGCACAAAAAAAAAAAAAATGAAATTAACTAAATTGAAGTTTGGCTCAGTCAAACTCCCATGCAACATTAACACGTCGCAGGTCCAAATTAACTACAAACATATGGTAGGCACTTCATACCTGGAATATATATATATATATATATATATGAATACTATATATGGTCATACAAGAGGTTAAAAATTAAAGTAAGGATAGAAAATCTACACCTGACTTTTGGAAAAAAAAAAAAAAAATCCACACCTTATTTAATCTTAACCGGTAAAATTTAAATCCCCACCCTACAGTTTTAAAAACATTAAAGATGCTTAAGAAAATTTTAGAGGCAAATTTCGTAAAGATATTTTGTGTAAATAAAGTTTTTCCTTTTTTTTTTTTTTTGATAAGACACAGCATAATTGCAACTTTTTCTTACCTTTAATTCTCATAACCCAACATCAATTTTGCATTTAATAGAAGAAAACAAAATAAATTCACATGCTCACAAAGAGGCAGGAAAAAAAGTGTGGAAATAATAAACGGAGTCACAGGTTGTACATGTGTTGCCTAAACTGCGTGAGTTATTTGGCACGAGAATCACAATATCTGCGTGTCTCATTGTAAAGGGGGAAAAAAAATTTATTATTTGCCATTAAAATAAAGATTTTGTTTTTACTAGCCAAAAAAATAAGGGTATCAGTAGTGCTTCTTCATCGAGAAAATATGTTTTTATTGAATGTGATTAAAATCACATTAAATTAAAAAATATGTAAAATATGAAAGTTTTTAATATAAAACAGATGCTTCTCGATAGTTTAATTTTGCAGTGTTCTACTAAAAAATTCCCAAAAAATAAAAAAATTTCTATTCATAGCATCTCTCTTTAAACATTTATATATAATCGAAATTTTATTAAAATACCAATATATAAATATGTATAACTAAGGGAATCTATACAAATGAGACGATTCAAACGAAATTCTAGTCTTGGAATATATTTTATAGGCTACTCAATAATTTTTCCTATAAAAGATAAGATTTTTATGGCAGGGCAAAAAAAATTTTAAAGAAAAAATTGTATTTCATTAAAATACTAATAAACAGTCATTTTGGTACAATATTAACTCATCAGAAGGACAAATACATGCTTGAGGCCCGAAGCTGGAAAAACACCTTGGCACACTAACAACGAGTGGACCGAAAGCTAAGTTGGAAAAAACCTCTCTTTTCAACATAAATTGTTGAGTGCTTGAGGAGTGCAGATAGTCAAAACCTACATAAAGGAGACATCTACACAGCATAAAAAAATTCTAACTGGATCAAGACCACCCTATCGGCACTAAGCCGAACACCTAAATCTAACAAAAAATAACAAACTAGATGAGAGTTAAGTGGGGAAACCACCAACCTTATTACAAACACAAAAGTTACAAAAAAATAAAAACCTTTGACCACCGCCAGTAGAAACCTCCGGTGAAGGGTGTCCGGCTAAAAGACCATCGAGGAAGACAGCCAGCGAAGAGATCTCAGCCACCAAGCAGAAAACTCTCATGAGAAAGGAGATTGTCCATTCAGCTTCCAAGCTCTTAACTAGGTCAGATCTGTCTAAATAGAGCCACCACACCGTACAACGAGAAGCCCACGACGAGATAAATCGGAAGACCTTATTTCAAGGCCGAAAGTTCAACGACGCACTTGAAAGCGGTGCCAGAGCTTCAGCCAACCTCTGCTCTCTAAAGACCTTCTCACACTCTCTCTAACTCTTAACCAATTAATAGGAGACGTTTGGTTCATGGATTAGAATCATGTGATTAGAACTATTTTCGATTTACTTGTATTTTTTTGAGAGAAAACACTGTAATGAACTATGAACAATGATTCAAATCATAGTTTGAATTCTACAACCAAACGTCGTTGTGTTTGGCGTTATGGGTAAAACAATTATCTTACTGAATAAAACTGTATTTTGAATAGTTTGAAATTTTTATATTAATTTTACATACATTTTTGTTTTGAAGTAATTCAATATTTAACAACACACTATTCAACTATAGATTGCTCCAAATTAAAATAAAAAAGAAACAATTTTTTAAGAATTTTTTAAGTTTTAAATTATCAGTCACAAAAATTAATTACGCGTGAGTAAATAGAAGTATCCCTCAGGTGTTACTCTGAAACAAACACTCAAATCTTTTGCCGACTGGTTCTCAACTCTAACCAAAAGACGAGCCCTCATATTTAACCACGGTTAAATATCTAATCAGTGGTTTAACTCAACCACGGTTAGGATTTCGAGGGCGCAAAGACTTAAAAAACAGAAAAACAAATAAACCCAGCTTCCGCTCTTTTACCTTCTTCACTCTCGCTTCAAAGGAGGGTTTTTTTCGTTTTTTGTTATTTTGTTTTGTTTTTAAGTTTTGAAAATTTTTAAAGTTTCACCAAAAAAAAATCTGATTCAATTCCGTTTGTTTTCTGGGAAAGAAGAAAAGAAAAAGATTTCTCGCCCAACAAAATTGTCACTTTCCCGGGAATGTTTACTGCTCCACCTGGGGCTCTTCATTAGCTGCCTTATCCAAGCTTTTGCTCGCGAAACCGGTGTGTATCATTTCTTCTCCCTTGGGATTTTCGGATTGATTTTGGTCCATTTTTTCTGGATTTTCTTTTTCTCGTAGGATTTAGGAATGGAATTTTCGAGATCTGAAATCGTCAGGATGCCATGGCTCGCCGATTCGGTTGGATGTATCGGATTTAAGCTTTGAGGGGGGGAAAATCGGTGGAGAAGAAGTTTAACCTGGGTCAGGATTTATTTTAGGGCTGAAGTTTGATCCGTTTGTTTAATCGGGAAAATCGTGAATCTCTCTCTCTCTCTCTTCTTTTTTTTTAATTGCTGTGCTTAATTTCTTGGGAAGAAGATGAAGATTGAGGTAGGTTTGGGAGGAAGTGGAGTTTGGAACGACGAAGATAAAGCCATGGCGGCGGCGGTTCTTGGGACTCGAGCCTTCGATTACTTGATATCAAGCTCGGTGACGAACGAGAACCTATTAATGGCGGTCGGAAGCGATGAGAATCTGCAGAACAAGCTCTCGGATCTAGTGGACCGCCCGAACGCCTCCAATTTCAGCTGGAACTACGCGATTTTCTGGCAAATATCGCGGTCCAAGTCTGGCGATTGGGTTCTGGGTTGGGGCGACGGGTCTTGCCGAGAGCCTCGCGAAGGCGAAGAGTCGGAAGCCTCGAAAATCCTCAATCTCCGCCTTGAGGACGAGACTCAGCAGAGGATGAGAAAGAGGGTTCTTCAGAAGCTCCACAATCTGTTCGGCGGGTCTGATGAGGACAACTACGCCCTTGGATTGGACCGTGTTACTGATACAGAAATGTTCTTTTTAGCTTCCATGTATTTCTCTTTCCCCTAGAGGCGAAGGCGGCCCCGGTAAGTGTTACGCCTCAGGGAAGCATATGTGGGTCTCGGATGCTCTGAAATCGGCGTCTGATTACTGCGTGAGGTCGTTTCTTGCGAAATCCGCCGGAATTCAGACCATTGTTTTGGTCCCCACCGATGTTGGGGTGGTTGAATTGGGTTCGGTGAGATCTGTGGGTGAAAGCGTGGAGCTTTTGCAGTCTGTGAGGTTGCTTTTCGCTTCGCAGTCCTCGCTGATGAGGGTTGGTAAGCCCGCCGTGACGGGGTTGCCGGTGGTGGGGGAGAAGAGAGATGAGAGTATTCGTTTGGCTAATTCTGGGATTGTTGTGGAGTGTAGGGATGGTGTTCCGAAGATTTTTGGGCAGGATTTGAATACTGGGAATGTTATTAGGCCTCATCATAGGGAAAAACTGGCTATTAGAAAGTTGGATGATCAGAGACAGCCTTGGGATATGTACTCAAATGGGAATAGGATTGCATTTTCTAGTCCCCGGAATGGGATTATTCATGGTTCGAATTGGCCTCATGTTCAGGGTGTGAAACAAGGGAACCCGACGGAGATTTATGTCTCTCAGAGCCAGGGGACTAATAACATACATGAGGTTGTTAATGGGGTGAGGGAAGATTTTCGGCTCAACAACTACCCGCCACAAAAGCAGGTTCAAATGCAGCTTGACTTTTCAGGGGCTACTTCGAGGCCCGCGGTGGTTAGTCACAGACCAATTAACGCGGATTCGGAGCATTCGGATGTGGAAGCTTCGTGCAAGGAAGAACGGCCGGGCACGGCCGAAGAGAGGAGGCCGAGGAAAAGGGGAAGGAAGCCTGCGAATGGAAGAGAAGAGCCCCTCAATCATGTGGAGGCGGAGAGGCAACGGCGTGAGAAGCTGAACCAACGTTTTTATGCTTTAAGAGCGGTTGTTCCCAACATCTCTAAGATGGATAAAGCTTCATTGTTGGGAGACGCCATTGCTTATATCAACGAGCTTCAGGCTAAGCTCAAGGTCATGGAAGCGGAGAGGGAAAAAGTTGGGAATACTTCTAGAGATTCATCAGCAATGGCTATGGAAACCAATAACCCAGATTTAGAAAACCAGAACCGAGTTCCTGATGTCGATGTTCAGGCTGTCCATGATGAGGTTATTGTTAAAGTAAGCTGCCCTTTGGATTCACATCCCGCGTCAAGAGTCATCCAAGCATTCAAAGAGGCGCAGATCAATGTTGTTGAGTCAAAACTAGCAGCCGTGAACGACACTGTGTTTCATACGTTCGTAATCAAGTCGCAAGGATCTGAGCAGCTGACCAAGGAAAAGATTATCGCAGCGTTTTCCCGGGAATCCAATTCCTCATGGACGTTGTCATCAGTTGGATAGCAGAAGAAGAATTTTGCCACTAGAATTATTAGATCATAGGCATTATTGTGAAGAACCCCTTTAAAAGATTCTTCCAAGAGTTTTTTTAGTATACAGCAGCAGATCCTAAAAGGAAACAACAGTGTCAGCTAGAAAGTAGAAAAATAACTCTCTGTTGACCGAGTAGTGCAGCAAATTTTCTGTCATTTGTTTATAGCATACATATTTTGTTATAAGTATTCTTGCAAGGTGGATCAAGTTTGTAAGTTTAGCCTGCTCTTCCATCACTTGTTATTAAGAAGCTGATGAATTTCTCGCCTTTTTTAGTATTAGTTTCACTAATTATTTGTTCTTTTCCTAGTTCTATTAGCGTTGTTTTGAATTGTTGCTATATTCTTTATGTTAGGCTATCAACATTATGATTTTACTGCCTAAGCAAACTATAAGAAGTTCTTATATGGATACAAATGACTTGTTCATTTAGATTAATTTCTCCCTGTTTTGCCTTGTGCTCTTAGACATGTTTTGGGTTTGTAAGTTTCTCCCTGAATTTGCAAGACAATTTGCTTATTTCTTATTTTGTCTTCTCCAAGTTTTTCTGTTCTTTCTTTTTTGACCATTTTTGGTTAGATTGTGTTTGTCAACAGCTCTGTGGTTGAGAACGATTTGTTAGTCTTAAACAAAAAACTTTTTTTTTTTTGTTGTTGTTTTTTACAAGTTGCAAACTCTACTTTTCTCTAATGTGAAAATAGATATGTCAAAAGCTGCTGACTTGTGATGAATACGTTTGTGGGAGTTTGGCGATATGTCAATTCAGTGTTGATGATGATTTCTTCCTGTTCACCTCACAATTTACATTTTGGAATGTCAATATCTGGCTCCTCTTCATCGGAATGGTGAAATTAACTGCCCATCTCACGTTTTCCTCATTATTCCTCTCAATTTCACGCTGTCTTTTTTTTATTTTTTTTATTTTAGTGGGTGGCGACTCACAATCGCTGGCTCTTTCCATTAAAATGATATACTCGCATGCTTTTCAGGTGGGCAGCTCTAGGCTGTTGAAAATGAACCTCTTCTTTTTCTTGGTTTGGTTAAAATTATGCTCAAAATTATAATGTTAGGAGATTTTTTATACAATGGCGTATTGATAATTTATGTTTTTTTAACCGTTGAATCTCCGTATTTTTTAATTTTTATTTGATTTTATGCAGATTTAACAGATAAAAAATTATCTATCAATATGTTGGCGTATCGGAGAATGTCTCATTTTTAGGTTTCTGGCAAAAAATAGTTATTTACTTCCATTTCATTATCTGCTTCACATGAATCCTTATAAACTAGTTAAAGCAAAAGGAGATGTGTAAACTTGTGTTGGGTTCTGTCTTTCTGTTCTGTCGGAAACATTCTTGGACTCGTTTTTTTTCTTTTACAACTCTCTTGTTTATTAAAGGACATGAAAAGAAGGGATTTTGTTCTCAAAATTCTAGGGTATCCTTTTTCAATATTAGCCCTTTTAATAAAGTGATTTGAGGTATCTCAAACTATTGAGCAAGGTGGAGAGAGAGACGAAATAGTTACCAATAACCCAAGAGTGATAGAACAAAGCAACAAAAGGGAACTTAAAAAAGAGAATAACAATTAAAAAGAAAGGAAATAATATTAAGGGGCATATAATAGTTGTGGTCCAATTGTATCCGCGTTTGCCCGGAAATAAATGTTTTCAAGACGTTTCTTGTTTTTGGGCACCTCCATTTCAGCCAATCAAGAAGCGGGGAAGGGAAATCATGTGGTGCATGTGGTGAGTCGAAAAAAGGCTAAAAATAAAAGTATCAAAGAGACTTTTGACAATTAGGCTGTCATTAAGAGCGTGACGAAGGTTACTACTATAATCCCCTGATCAATAACCATGCAAATGAAGTTGGGAATTTTTTTGTCTTTTTGCTAGGGGTTCAATGTTACCTATTTCTTTGGCCAAAAATTAAGAACCCCATTATTTGTTAGCTTAAAACCATATTGTTTTGCGCCCCAAAACGCGAACACACACGTTTTGACACGCCCACCATATTACTGTCATTATTTTTGCATCGCATTTTCTGGTTTTGATTTGTTTGGTTTGAAAAATGGAATATTGATGAAACATATGACACAAATACAGGACGGCTTAATTTTGTGCATGCTTTTGGCGTTTGCTTTTTATGCCCATGTTTATCCATCTATTCAAATTATAGGTCTTTATCCCATTTTTGAAGCTTCTTTCTTTCTATGGCAGGTATTTAGTAGACCCACATGGTAGGGCACGACCCATTTTTGAAGCTGATTTTTTTCTACTTTTGGCTGTTACTGGAAGACCCACGTGGTAGGCCACACGTTACAAAACACAGGATAAAAGAGGCAAGGGCAAAAAAGAAAAGAAACGAAAAGCCTTCTGTTCTTTTTTAATGGTAAATTTTTTCTGAGATTTTTTAAAATAATTATGGTTTAAGGTCTTAGTTAGGGTTAGGGGTGTTCACGGATTGTACTGCACGGATTAGGGGTTAATCTGCAATCCAATTCGTTTATGCAGATTGAAAAAATCTCAATCCGTTACCAATTCGTGAAACTCCTAATTTAATCCAATCTATTTATGCGGATTAGAAAAATCTCAATCCATTAACATTCGTGAAACTTCCAATTTAATCTAATCTAAATTCTGCGGATTTACGGATTGAACTATGTTTTTTTCGATATTATCATAAAATTCAATTCAAAATTAAACACAAACATAATATAAAATTAAATTTAAATGCATTGAACTAACAAAGTGGACGGAAGAATTAAGAGAGGGTGTAGCGGCAGGACTGATTAGGTTCTATTTTGTTCTACTAAAAATTTAAAATGAGTTGGACTTGAGCTTTATATTTAGATCTGCCGTATAACATTGGAGCTTTTCTCTTTTCCAATGCATAATACATAGAAATAATTATGTATATATACAATTAAAAAATCTCTTTTATATATTATTAAAAGTATATAAAAATATATATAGTTTATATAATTCGGATGGGTGAATTATGCGGTTTGAGAAATGCTCAATGTGCAATATTAACGGATTGAGAAAATCTCAATCCGTTACCAATCTATATTTTTTTTAATCCAATCCAATCTGCCGATTGGATTGATCAATTATGCAGATTGGACGGATTGACAGATTCAATGAACAACTCTAGTTAGGGTTTTGTTGATATTCAAATTCGACATAACTCCACGTGCGGCTGTGCACGATGGTCGGAGCTCTTGCTCCGCCTCTCCAAATTAGGTTTCTTGGTACATCGCGTTCTGGTTCGGGTGGTGTCACTTAACCTGGTTTGTAATGAGAAAGTAAATAATCTCAAAGTGAGAAAGATACCAGTGAAGTGTCTCCTAATGTCACTTCGATGCTCAAGTCAACTTATTATGCGATTAATGGAGAGGTAAAGATTAAGTAGGGAATTTGTTCTTACCTCAATAAATGCATGATATGGTATTAATAGTGCATTGTTGGACCGGCAACCCACCCAATTGTACGGTTGTTTTTTTTTTTTTTTTTTTTTTTTTTTTTTTTGATCCATCAATGGAGGGTGGTGATGGTTCCAAGTAATCAAGAGTTCTCCTTTGAGAGAATAGTTCTTTGCTCGGGGGTGAATTTATACTTAAGTGGAATGCTGTTCGAGGTATTCACTCAGAGAAGAAGGCATCAATTAGCAGTCAGGAATATTGTGAATGCTTTCATGCAGATTTGGGTGTTAGAAATGAATGTTCTAAAAATTTAGGGAACTAGGGACAATAAATTGAGGTAAGGACAACAACTTTGGAGTCACATAGTTGGGGTATTTAATTAATTTTTTTTAAAAAAGGGAAGTGAATATAAGAGGACTTCCAGTTGTATTATCTTTCTTGGATTCTGTATCAGCAGTGAGACTAGGAAAACCCATATCTTAACTGAATTACTCTTGTATTGTGTAAAGCACTAATTGGGTAGTTAGTATAGGCCCATGATTAGTTATATCATAGTTTACTTATATATCAGAAACAAAAAATACTAATAAAAGGGTAATCTTTAGATATTTTCAGGAAATGAAAGAATCTGAGCAGTTTTTAACAATCAAGGGGTTTGGGAAGCACGTTTCAACAGTCACCAATAATAGAAAGTTTTGGCCTTTATTACCTCAACTCTCTTATGATTAAATTTTGCTGCTTATAAGCTAATAACTGAAATAGATTAAGCTCACTAGTCAGCATTTCAGCCAATTAGAATCGCACTCATTACTTAAATAGAAGAAAGTTACTACAATAAGATCTTGAAGATAAATATCGCTGATAAAATAGATCAACATATATTGTCTATTTACAAAGTGACGACATAGATGAATTTGTCTGATCTTGTGGGTAGTTATTATGGTAAACTTCCCATTTACAAGACACAACATAGATAAATTTGTCTATTTACAACTGACAGCTAGTAAAAAAGATTATTATTATTATTATTATTATTATTATTATTATTGTTTTTTGTCTTCTGCAAATCGACCAAACAATATGAGAAAGATTAAAGCCATCATTTACTTCTTTCTTTTTAAAATTTTAGACACTACCAGTATAAATTCTTTAGCTAGATTCTTGCCAAGGGAAATGAAATGGCTCTTTCTTTAGGGAAAATTACTTGCACTTTTACTTTTTTTTTATTATTATTATTATCATAAAATCCGTGTGAGCGAGAGGATTGATATGGGGTTGACGAAAGAGGCAGGGGGGACTTTATTGGGGTTTTTTTTTTTTTTTTTTTTTTAATGCTAAATTATCTCCTATAATATATTAGGAAGACAAATGGGGAAAGAAAAATGCTAGCAAAACTTTAAAGACAATCACAAGCCCTTGAAAGTTGGAAGATGACTCAGATTTCTTCGTAATCAATTTGACACAACCTCCCAACTGTGAGGACAGCGACTTGAGCTATTCAAGTTTGAATAAGCTCGTCACATGCTTCTTATGCTTTCAATGAACTTAAATGTAAAGCACGTGATAAAGACAAACTTATCACTACTACTACCACTACTACATATTTCTAATCAAAATAGAAAGTTTGTAAATCTAGCAAGATATATTAACTTGTTCAGAATATTCAATACTATAAAGTTTGTAACTCCCAAACTTATTGTTATTAATTGATTTTTATTTAGAATATTTTGTAAGTTGTTTTCCCCTAAACAATTGTTACAACGCCAATGACTGTATTTGGTGCAATAAAATAGTCAATTGACCATTACCGGATGCACATGCATAATGTTACAAGCTTAGCATCAATGTTAAGCAGCTCGAGTTCCACATGGCTGTTCCTTTGTTTTCTCTAT